GTGAGAGGCGGGGTCACCCTGGACTGGTCACCAGGCTGTCTCAGGGAAACACAGAGACAGACAGGACAAACAACCATGCGCGCGCACACACACACACACACACACACACACACACACACACACACACACACACACACACACACACACTTAGGGAGAACTTAGGGAGAATTTAGAGAGACCATTAACCTGACAGTCATGTTTTTGGACTGTGGGAGGAAGCTGGAGTACCCAGAGAAAACCCACGCATGCACAGGGGGAACATGCAAACTCCATGCAGAAAGACCGGGGCAATCGACAGTTGGCGGGGCAACGCGTTTTCGCCGGCCGCAGTCGAATACTGTCAAATGCGGAATCCTAAGGGGGCAGGAGGGGTGGTGAGGTGCGGGGAAAGTGCTGGGGAGCGGGAGGTGTTAACAACTCTACTTAACATGTGAATAGCAACAGGAGACCCACGTGAATCGTCAGTTATTGGGTGAAAAAACAATGACATCACAATTCATTACTTACATGTGATTGGTTGGTAGATATCTCCCTATTGGACACACTAGACCTTTATAATTACAGGCCTGGTTCAGCCCCTCCCTAATAAAATTATAAAAAAAAACAACCCAGAAATAAAAATACACCAAGCACAAGGCATAGGTTTATATTTTTAATTTTTGTTGAAAAATAAATATGTACATACATGCATATAAAACACATCTACAAATAAAAAAACCACACGTATAAAATAAAAAACACATCTACAAATAAAAAAAAACCATCTTTCAGTTAAAAAAAAAAAAAAAAAAAAGATTACAGCACAAAATGCTTGTATACTTCTGAGCCGTGTGGTGGTGGCTTTCTTTCTGAGCATGATCCAACATACAAACGCATATGACGCAAAATGCTGTATTTAGCTTCAAGTCTCTTACCACGACTTTTGGTGTTATATCTTACTGTTTGCACACTAAATAAGATATAAATGCTTGTCCATTTCTGGACCATCTGGCAGTGTTTTTTTGTCCAAACATGATCAAACATTATGCTGTGTTCAGGACAGGTCCAACATCTCTCCTGTAGCATAGACCTGACGTCTCTTCCTGTCTTGTAGTCCTTATGTCACTGAGCTCCTGGTTGGAGGAACTTGGGGTCCATCCTGACACCGCCTCATAGCTGCCATCCTCCCAGAATGCCACCTCCTCTGCTGCCAGTACCCTCTGCCTTCCTCCATCAGCTGTTAATACAGAACAGACAATCATTATGAACTACAGGCATCTTTTAGTCATTATGAAACTACAGTGAAATTGTTTGGCAACTTCCAGCTTAGTATGCACACATAAGACATTAAAACAAAGAAAGAAAAAAACACATTAATACATTCTTACAAAAAATAAAAACTTTAATGAAAAAGAGAAAACACTTGGAAACAATTGGAAGAAAAAATAATTAAAAGCAGTTGGTAATAAATAGTAAAACATAGTTCAACAAACTCTGAGGCAGATAATTTGCTTTGATGGATTTTAATAAATCACAGTGCTTTAATCATTCAAGGAATTGTGACATCTCTAGATTAGTAATAAATCTTACCTGCTTCTTTCTTTAGCTACATCTGGATGACTGTCAGTCGGTCTTCACACCAAACAAATCAGCGAGTTCTTTGAGGGAGAAGTTCATGGACGGATCCTCCTTTGATGATCTTCGTTTACAGATGGGACAGTTCTTGTTTCCAGTTTGTTCCCAGAATTCCTCCAGGCAGCTTGAACAGAAGCTGTGGTTGCAGCTCAGAGACACAGGATCTATGAAAGTCTCTGAACAAACATGGCAGCTCAGGTAACTTTCCAGAAGAGCTCTCTCTGCCATTACTCTATTTTGTATCAGTCAAGACAAAATGTTGACTTACAAATCTCCTTTAGTTTGTTCGTCTGTGGTGATGTGAGGCTGTCCGTAAACGTCCTGTCCTTTGTCAGTAAAGCAAGCCTTTCAGTTTCCTTTTCCCCTTTTTCGGGTGGAGCTGATTGAAATTAAACTGACATTTTCCAAGTTGCCTCTAGATGGTGCTGTTTCATTCTTTTTTGTTTAATTTGTTTTTACATTTTTGCTTAGGCAAACATGAATGAGGTTTTTAGTTTTTGGCTTTTCTTGTTTAACTTAACCTGTGTGAAAAGTCGCAGAAAATAAAATCTAAATATTGCAGCT